TGTGCGTGTGGTCTGGATCTGGGTGTGTGAGTGCATGTGCATGTCTGTGCGTGCGGGTCTGGGTGTGTGCGTGCATGTGCATGTCTGCGTGTGGGCCTGGGTCTGGGTGTGTGCGTGCATGTGCATGTCTGTGTGCGTGCGTGCGTGTGCATGTCTGTGTGCGTGTGGGCCTGGGTCTGGGTGTGTGCATGCGTGTGCATGTCTGTGTGGGTCTGGGTCTGGGTGTGTGCGTGTGTGTGCACACATTCACACGCACACACATGCACTCATTATGTCCCAGGCAATTTGTAAACAAAGGATTGTGCTGTATGCGTGGCTTATGTGCTGTTGTGAGTGTAGACGGGAGTTTCTTAAAGCAAGTTGCGTGGATGCGTCGAGTGCCATTTGTAATCCCTGCTTTCCCTGTGATGACAGATGTTCTGTTCCTGACTCTTTCCTGCATCTCCCTTCCCTGCTCCCACGAGGACGGTGCTGTGCACAGTGTTTCTATTTGGAAAGCTAGAGCATATCGGCCTGGGCCCGCATCAGAACAGGGCCCCAGTCACTAGAATTCATAGAAACCAAACCACAAAGTCGAACCTGGTCCGGGGGCCGCCCTGTCCTACCCGGACCTCCTGCTTCTGCCCGTGTGACGCATCATACACACTTCTTGCAGACTCTCCTGTTGACGGCTCCTCGCGGCTCAGTTTATGTTGACGGCTCCTCGCGGTTCAGTTTATGTTGAGCCTCTGTGTAAGCAGGACCTCCTCTCTGTGTCTTCCCTTCACTTCTTCTGTGGGGTCTGACTCCACGCACTCTGTGCTCCACAGTGGCTCGCTGTCGGGGAGGGCCAGCATCCCCTGCAGGGTTCTCCCATGTAGTCGAGTCCTCAGACGTAGTCTGTCTGCCCTTCCTGTTCCCCGTGCCAATGGTGAGGCAGAGACGCAGAGTGACCCGGAGCCAGGCCCTGGCCACACGTGCCCCCGCCCCGTGGGACCCACGCTTTGCCCCACTAGCTCCACGTCTGCAGGGTTCTTCTTGCTAAGGGGACGAGATGCGCAGGCGGAAGGAGATGCGGCTCGTTGCCTCTTCCAGACGGGACGTGGTCATTGAAGCACTGAAGCCGCTTTGGAGTGAGCGTGGCCCCAGGGGGTGGAGCCCAGAGGGGCCCTGCTGTCCGTGCGCACCCTCGGCAGCGGGCTTCTGAACCTCAGTTTCTTTGTCTATAAAAGGAAAAGGTTGGGCCTAAAGTTCTCTTCAGTTTTGTTTTAACATTCTTAGGATTCCATTACTAACATGATTCAATCCATTTTGCTATTAAACTGGGTAATAAGCTACAGCTTCTTTGACAAAAACCTGATTCAATGGATTTTTCTTGTTTTCTCTACTTGCTAACTTAAATCATTGGACAAAAAAAAATTGAAGAAACATTTTGGATGTGAAATCCTGTCCCGCAATGTGAAGTCGAGCACAGCGTGGGCACCTGTGGAGACCTGTCCCCTGACTTTGGCCCCTGGCGTCAGGCAAAGAGTGGTGCGCACACCGACACTGCTGGGACCCGGGCGGCCTGACCCCCAGCCTGTGTCTCCCGTAATGCCGTGCGCCCCACCTGACTTATTTCAGACCTGTACTCGAAGGAGCATAATCTTTGTGACAAGGTTGCCAATTTGCGCTTTAGACTGTGAGAGGTTAACAGCGCCCACCATAAGCCATTCTGTCCCTGTTTGTGATTTCAAACTGTCCACGCCTCTCCCAACCTGCTCACGTTGCGCTCACCCACCTTCCATCTGAGGGAGTCTGGGAGGCCGTGGCAGGCGTTGGGCCTTCGTCACAGAACCGGTCCCCGAGACATGTCTCCAGGAAGCACCTCCCCCGGGTCTTCATCACGTTACCTGAACAGGTGCTCACCGTGCCATCTGTGAGCCCAGTGTGGGACTGTTTTAGTTTCCAAAGGTCACTGGCCCTTTTGGTTTGGGCAGGCAGACGCGTGGGGGGTCTTTCGAGGACCTCTCCTGCCACGTGGCCATTCTGCCCTCAGATGAGCACCAGCGGCTTCGCACGGGGATGAGTCGGTGGCGTCTGAGGGGAAGCCCCAGCCAGCCCGCTGCCCCTGCCCCCCAGCGCACACCACCTGTCAGCTCCGGTGCTCAGGCTGCCCACGTGGGGCTGGCAGGTTCAGTCTGCACGCACATGCGCCTGTGTCACAGGCAGGCTGTTTGTGGGCATCTTCTCCTAAGCAGCTGGGACAGCCACTGGGGAGTTCTGGAGGGGCCGCGCGGGCGCATCGTGTCTGAGCCTCTCACCGTCTCCCTCCTCTCTGCCATTTCTCACCAGAACTCGCTGGTGGTTGAGATCCCGCCTTTCCGCAATCAGAGAATAACCAGCCCTGTGCAAGTCAGCTTCTATGTCTGCAACGGGAAGAGAAAGAGAAGTCAGTACCAGCACTTCACCTACCTTCCTGCGAACGGTAACGCTCTCTTTCTAACCTTAAGCACTGAAAATGAACCAAGGGGGCACTTTTTCTAAAAGACACAGGAATGCCAAGATGTTGTCGCCGTGAAACAGTGTGGTTGCCTTGTACGTTTAAGCTGCATTATCATCCCGTTAGCAAGACCGTGTCTTCAATTCTTAAAAAAAGAAGTGAAGCTTTCCGTGTATTTCCCTTTATTACTGCTGTGGGTGGGGGCTGCATATTGGGGTAATTACTGACCATTTTGCTGGCTGCTTGCAAATATAGAACAGCCCAGGGGGAGAAAAAGTACAGCCCTTCTGTGCTCAAAAGCTGAGGTGGTCTAGGTGTGTGTTTAAATTCTATAGATGTTTAAGGTGGAAAAGCAAAAAGTTATAATTATTTTGCAGGTGCCTTTAGAAATAAACCTATGCTATTGAGCCTAAAGGCTAGTGCTTGATGTGGTCATTAACTAACATTAACGATTTCTGTGCTCATGTTAATGCCCCACATCACATTCTTCTATGAATAATTGCATTTCCTTGTGACCATGAGGCTTTCAGGCCCGAGCACCTTTTACTCAATACTGTCCTCGCTGAGACTGTTTCTACACCTTGAGGATAGATGCTTAGGACTTAGGAAAATCAGTTTGCCTTTTCTGCTTCTTAAGGTGTTTCCTTAAAGAAAATACCATGTGTTTGTTTTTTTTTTTACCCCCAGAACTAGTAGAAAATAAATGTGCTCTGCCTTGTCCTCAGAGCATCGCCTGGCGTTCTGCCTCGCGGGCCAGGGTGTGCGCTCAGAGAGCACGGGATCACTTGTCATCCTGGGTTCGGTTGTGTTTTGTGTCAGCTCAGCTCAGCCAATAATCGTTTTGTACAGTAGCTCTTCTAAAAACTTGGGAGATTTGTATAATTTAAGAGGGAAATTAGTGATACACTAAAAACTATTGTGAAAGCAGCCACGTTGCTTTCTTGGTAAAATCAAGATTCTCTGAGGGTTTAGTTCTCTTTAACCATAATGTGTCATTTACAAAATAGACTAGATCGTAGGAAGGCCTAGAAGAGCTGCGCTGATGTCAGCTAGAATTAACTGTTTTCTGGGCAAATGTTAGCTGTGCCTTTGAAGATTGGAGTAACGCGATCTTGTTGTAAAGTCACCACCTCAAGAGAGGGGACGCAAGCTATAGGACTGCTTGTGTGTGGAGTGTGTGCATGTGCGCGGCTCCCGCGGGTTGGGCGCCTCATGCTCTGTGACCCTCCTGGGCTTGCGTGCTCTGCCACGTGCTCCATCCCATCTGCTCTTGGAATGAGGGGCAATATATCTTACAAGAGAAAATATTTAGTCAAAATGTAATGATTTTGTCCTAATTAAACTTCAAGCGTGGTTGACCAAAAATTGAATGTTTTAAAGAAAACCAGGCTTTATAAGAAAAATTGCTTTTTAAAGCAGTTTAGAAAATATCTCTCACATTAATGTTTTCTGCAGTCCCAGCACTGAGCAGTAACACGCTCTCCCGTGTTAGCAGGAGAGGGCCTATGCCTGTGACCTGCACCTCTTACAGGAGGGGACACAGCCCAAAGAACATGTTACTAAGATACTGGGGTGCTGAGGACTCTGCATGTGCCATCCTATCTCCCCGCCCTGCAGTGGGAATCACATGCTGCAGCCTCACCCCACAGGGACCTGACTGCCCTCTGCCCCGGGACCCCGTCCCCACGAACTCCGTCTGCCCCGGGGCCCCGTCCCCACGAA